GCCCCAAAGTCATGTGACTGATTTTTCGCCCTGTTTCGTTGGTTAAACGCAATGATCACAAGCACCACCATGGTAACTGGGATGTGTAGTTTTTAATTCCGTTTGAATTATAACTGTACGTACTGTCTTCGTATTTGGCCAGGGCTTTAAAGAGAGGGTGCGCCAAAAATTTTCGGTGCCGTTGTCTCCGCTTTAAAGGTACCCCCGTCGCGGAAGAATTCGATCTCGGGACGTTTGCCCAGCGTACTATTAAATAGTATACATACATTCATATACATGATATTAAGACACTATGACTTTTAAGTTAACATATTTTGTCACAAATATGAAATACTGTAATCTACAATTTAGATGCCTTAATATACAACTTTTCAAAAGTGAAAACGATATGATGGTGTCACGGACGTCCAAAGGGACTAACCGTGGGGAGCAGGAGAGCGGAAAAAGACCCATATGCGTAGCGGCGAGACGGGAAAAATGCCCAGGCTCATTAGTGCAAAGAGTTCAGGAATGCCGTATAGAAACCTATGCCCTCAGGGAGCGGACGTGGGGCGCCCTGGTGCTAGGCGGGTCTCAGGACAACCGAACATCAATGCTGAGCGAGGACAGAGTGCAAGACCCGGAAATATATAGCCCAAGGGAGAGAGGGACAGGAAGGACAGCAGACCGGAAACTTGGGACAGGACAGAGAAGGAGTGCCCCCTGGCTGCAGAGGGCGTGACAGATGGAAGGCAAAGATAAATAAGAAAGAGTACAATTAAAAAGTTATAGATTATATCTTAAAAAGCAACAAAAACACATATAACAATATTTTCTGACCAAATGCTGCTACATTTTATTCATCATAGTAGACTACATCTATATACAGGTGAGATAACAAGTGACTAGACATGATATAAATTACAATTCAGACATTTTGCTCTTAGGAAAAAAAACAGGTGCGTTAATTTCAGATTTCCCATCATTTCTTAAATCAAGCTGATCCTTAAATTACACATACAGTGTACTGTGTTGGTATCCTGGTAACCTGGAGGGATACAGGGTCTGCTAGCCCTAAATGCAATTGAAATAGCAAATTTGAGCTATTTAGAAAACAGTTTACTCTAGAGAAAACATCTAATACAGTAACTGTGTACTTGTTTATACGCTATAAAAAGAATGATCTACTCTCTTATAAGCAGACATTCCATATAATTGAGGAGTCAAAAATTCGGCCTGCAGACTCGGTCTAATCCACTTGCAGGTGCGGTCACAGCCTTGGTTGGAATTCAATTAAAAACTTGGAATTTGGAATTATAAGCCAATTCTACTGTATCTACAAATAAGTGTTGAATTTACGAGAGGAAGTATCCTTAGCCGGGTAAACTGCCTAAAGCACATTGTGACTCATAATAACAAATATGATCCTTGTGATCAGAAAGACGGCTGAGGTTTAGTTATAATCACTGCAGGTGGTGCCTTTGGGTTGAAAGTCAATAATTTTCCAGCACTGTACAGAATGTGTATATTTTAATAAAGTCCATATTTAATTCTGCACTGTTTATAGACTCTTTTCAATTGGCACTTGAATTATACTTAGAAATGGACAGCTTGACATTGTAACCCAATAGATAATTAAATTAAGATGATATATAAAGTTCAAATCATCTTGATGAATGGAGTTTCATTGACTAATTAGACAAATGAAATACAGTAAATGAATTGTCTAGAATGTGAAGTCTCAAACCCTTCTAGAAAAGCATGATATTCTTGTTCAAATTTAAAAACAAAACTCCCATCTTTCAGTTGCTGTTTAGAAATTTAAAGCAGTTAGACAGAGCAACCAGCATGATTACCTTCCTGTAGAAATGCCATTTTCATCTAGTCCTTCTGTTCTGACTTCACTTCCATAGGCTACCAAGCTTTGTAGAGCACAGGCATTCATTCCTTTTTGTCACATTTTTTTAATGGCTGTGTTTATCAAACAGGGTGCAGTAAAGACCAGTTACTTTTGAAGTTTCCTAAAAATAGTTTAAAAAAACTGAAAGAAAACGGAATGAAAAATGTGAAATTAAATGTTAGAATTAAAAACGAAAATGAAAGTTATAGGTTCTGATCTTCTTTAAATTATAAATGTATCAAATTGGTCTTTTGGATGAACCTAAAGATACATTTGTCTCTAGAGATCTACCTAGTGATCTGGAGTCCCTGAGTAGTCCGGCTATCTGCTTTGATCTACAGTACGTCTTCAGGAAAGACATTGTGAGAGATGTGATGATTAATCTGCAGAGACTATGTCTGTATTCATGACTCCCTGTGACCAGAGTAGCATCTTCCATGGAGATTCACCTGGAACAGGAACCCATAAAAATCAGCAGACCCAGGCTTCCCCCAGCAGTGTCAACTTTCTGTCTCTGCTGTGGAGGGAAGGGAACCTTCATAACAGATGTCCAGACTTGCAGGGAAATGTCATGGTCAGTAAGGAGGAGTACTTATCGAGTGAGGTTCAATCTTCTCCACACTTCACTCAACACCTTACATTGCCAATTGCTTTGTCTTGGGATTCCCACCAGTTTTGTTTGAATGATTTTGTGGACTCCGGGGCATTGGGGAAATTCATCAACCATGAGTTAACGAAACAGATTGGGGATTCTGTTAATGTCTTGCAATGTACTAGCTCACATGCAAGCTTTGGACGATCGGTCTGCTGGTCTTGGGGTTGTTACTCAACAAAATGTTCCTATTCAAGTCATTGTTGGATTATCTCACTCTCAATAAGAGTATCTCCCTGTTATGTTTCTCATCTCCTCAGTGCCGTTAGATTCTGGGGTTCCTTTGGCCTAAACTTCAAGCATTTGCATTTGCTCTCTCAACCTGTGCTTAAATATTGTCTTCTGTCCCAGATTGCTTCACCATCATGAGAGTATAGCAGTATTATCACTGAAACATGATATATTTTTTAGATTATAAATACTTTGGTCTAAGACCCCTTTTCCATACTTAAAGTTAACTCAGAAAAATGTTAATACCAATTGAATTTCTAAGTCCTGCGATTCTGTGGCTCTCATGTTGTAGATGAGACTTCCCAGCATCTGAGGTATGAAACTGCTTTAAGGTCCAGCTGGACAGGAACCATGCCAGTGGCAGAGCAGAGAAAGCCAAACCTCAGTCATCTCTGTGACAGTAATCCTTACCCCGAAATCATAACATCCAAAATGAATATAACACCTATAACACCTTACACCAAGGTCCAAGTAAATGTACCATAGTACGGGCTCTGTGTTTTTTACAGAAAAGATTATATCAATAGACTAGTTAATGAACTGACTCTTAGCCAGGTAAAGCTAGACTCTGAATTATGTTTTCATTATCATTGAATATAACAAATATATATTATTATATAACATGGACTAAACTGTAACTACAATATTATAAAAATACTTTTTTAAAACAAGATTTATAAAAAAAAGAAATGATTTACCGTATTTGCCCATGAGTTTTCTCTTGTATGTTGCTGTGTACTAGAAGCACATTTAGGTCTTTGATCTCCTAACAAAAAATATATTTTAATAGCAGTAATTGTGAAAAAAGACAGTGTCAATAGTGTCAACAGTGTCAAAAATGTAATTGTCATGGATGAACAGTGAGTGAGGTAGTGAATTACCACAGTAACTGGCAGTGACATCTGGGTACAGTGTAAAAACTAGGTCGCCCCGCCACTCATCCAGGTGACGAGCATGACAAAAAGTATATAAATTAAATCGATGCTCACTAGAATTATAACTCTATACTGGAAACAGTTGCTTAGGTTTAATTTTTTTCTAATTAGATTTAGGCACCTATACATCCATCTATTCAAAATGTGTGAGGTAAGCTGCTTTAAAACATGGTGGTACTTGGCGCAATATACTGCATCATAACACATGTTTTTTTTTTAAATAGGATAATAGTATCTGGAAGTATCTTGTAAAACTGCCAGGTGGGACTAATAAAGCTTAACGTCTCATGTACAGCATTTGAGCTGTCGCTAGAAAACACCCGTTTTCGAATCCTGGGCACTGCTGGGGGACAATCTTTTTCCAGTTAAGAATACTTTTTATAATTTTAAACTGTGTATTACAGCATGTTAAACATTAAAAAGTTGGTATATTTTATAAAAGCAAGATTGCTTTCTTGACAAATCACCCCAAACAAAATACAATTTTAAAATGCAAGCAGTTTGAAATTATTAGTTGTTAAAAAATCACTTAACTTTGAACATGTTGTGATATTTAGAAATACCAACAAATTCAATATAGTGTCGATAATATTTACTATTTTAGTTTTTCAAAGAAATGTTTATTTGTTAAAAGAAAACTCATGGTCGGAGCCAAGTTTGATCCCCCAACTTCCAGCATGTAAGGCACAGACATTACACCAACAACCACTTGACAACTTAAGCTATAACTGAATACAGACAAAAAGTAATTGCGAGTGAATGAGTCAAATTGATGTAGATGTTTACAAAGAAAGTGTGCTCCAGTAATAATTTAAGCCATATGAATATAATTATATCGTTATTAATTTCATTAGATACCTGATTCCATATTATATTCCCTATTAATCAAATGCTAAAAAATATGCATTTTTTTACTGCGATAACGAGTACAAATATTCATAGAAAAGGTTATTTACCTTTGCAATTCCTTTGTCCGTAGAAAAATAAAGCCAACACAACCAGAAGAATCAGAGAAACAGTTGTCAACAGTCCATACAGAATTCTCTTTTTTCTTCTTTCTTCATATACGTCTACTGCAATATACTGTACATACAGTATAATACAGTCTTTATTGGAATGTGAAGTTGAGCAACATGACTCATATCTCCATCACATTAATCACATGACAAAAATCAGTCTCTTTATTTGATCTAATCCAGAGTTCTCTGACCTTGGTCCTTGAGAGTCCAAATCAAGGTTGTTGTGTAATTTGGTAAATTAACTAGACTTTGGCTCTTGAAACCAGAAAGTTTTGCTACAATCTCTAAATATCTTAATTTTTAATGAAACCACCTGTTTAACTGATAACAGTTATATGACTCCAGATCTTTAGGATCCTGTGATTCCTGAAATGGTTTCATATAATACTTTCTGGATAGGGTTTTTTTTCAGGAGTTGTTTTGGGGATTTCTGGCCTAAACCAACATCTGAAGATGACACTTTTCCATAACACTGTAGCAAAGTATAGAAAACTGAATATTGTATCAGTTTAGAATTTCAGATAACAGCTAGATGTATGTTTAGCTCTGGGTTTGGAAATATATGCTAAATGTATGCTAAATTGTGTTAAGATGCTTCATTAACAATTGTGGGAGCATTTTTTAAATGGCTAATAGTCATTTTTGTTGAGTTCCCTTGACTGACAACAGCTTACTGTAATTGATTTGGACCAATTAAAAAAAATCAGTTCTCAATGCAAGAGAATGTCCAAAAAACTTTTTTTTCATTTGATCATAAAACACAGTTCAGTTGTCATTCGGGTGTGGTTTCTGGATCCCCCTTGCAACCCAGTTATTAATACAACATTCATGCAGGCAACCTTGAGTATCAATAATAGCACTTTGTATCCTGATGGTTTCTGTTGATTGCGGATCATTGTGTTGGAGCTTTTGGATGTATGCCTGTCTCCCAAACTGCTTGTGCTCTAAAGGATGTCACTATACCTTTATTACCTGTAGCCTTAATTTCAGATTATAACAACACTGAAAAGTGGTAGTGCTGTCTTCCCACTTTTTATACTGTACTTCTATACTAATGGAAAATGGAAAACTGTACAATTTCAATTGTAATTTATATTTTTTTAATTTTAATAAGTACTTAAAGGTTTGAAAAAACACGGCCTTTGTGTCTTGTGGAATTTAATTATTAAGGATAATTATAACTAGCTTCTGGGAAAACTGGCCCTGGTGTGAGCATGTGAGCTTGTTGCTTGCAGGAATATGCTCCAGATCAGGTTCCCCCATGACCCTTAATTGGATGATGTGATTAGAAAAATGATATAGATAACATGAATGTTATATTCACAATCACGATATTATGCAATAGTGTATTTCCAAAAAGAGTCCAAATTTAATTTAAGATAATTACCTAAAATTTATCTTCAGGATAGATTATGAATGTATTAGAATAATATGTAGAAAATATTAGATTGATACAATTATTTCGCAAGACCATGTTGATTAAATGTTGCAAAGCACACTGACAATCGGCTAGACTGAAAACAAATCTTGTACCTGGAAATTGTATAGTTTTGCTGAAGAATTCCTTGCTTTCCATTTTCACAGTACAACTGAAAGACTCTCCGCTTTTCCAGGTCTCTTCTGGGACCATCACTTCTTTCATGATAAAGTACAAGTCCTCGCCAATAGAGTGTTTGACTGTCTTAGTCTTGTTGGATCCAATGCTCTTCAGATTAACTGGGGTTTCCCAATAAACAGAGTCTGAGTCAGGAATCTTCCCAATCACCAAGCACACAAGAGTGGCCAAGCCATCTGAGAAAACAAGCTGGTTTGAGGGAGGGATAACATAGACTGAAGGGTCTAAAGTGGTGTCATCTGAAGGAAGAGAAGACATTACTTTATTAATGTACATTAATGTACTTGTACTATGCCAGGGGTGCCCAACTTTTTTTAATGTAAGATCTACTTTTTCATTTGCCAGTCCAGCGCAATCTACCAATGTGAATTTAAAGCTCTGATATAGGAAGAACAGACTACAGTGCAATACAGTACAATAACGATACCCATCACTGAAATGACAGCAAATAAAAGCAAGTGACTCAGGCTACAGTGAACAAGTAATGTTCTCCATTTTAGACAAAAGAATATCCTACCTTAATGTGAGCATTGGCACTGAGAAGCTTTCTTGAGAACACTTTCATTTTTTTTTAACGTGTTGACACTGCTGATCATGTCGGTGACATTTTTATTTTGTCCCTGCAGCTCGATATTCAGCTCATTCAGCAGTTCAGCCAAGTCTGTGAGGAATGCTAAATCCAGAAGCCATTGGTCATCCTCTAATTGGGCATACTCACCATGATTAGATGACTTGAGAAACTCTTGGATTTAAGCCAACAGCAGTCTGAACCTTGCCAAAAATGTTTGTTTTTGAAATCTCCAAACAGCAAGTCAGCAGTCTCAGCAAATGCTTTTTTTATTACTTCTTGATCCCTGAATGACTTGTTGTGTTAAGCCAGGACGTGGCTCACACAGAACGATGCAATGATTGCCACTTTCCCTCTTGTATTAGGCCTCGTGAAAACCGACTGCTGCTAGCTGACATTTTTTTCCATAATTTTTCCACTTTTCTTTTGCGTAACTCACTTTTAGCGGGAAAGTCCACATCATATATTTTGTGTGCAGTTTTGAAATGTTGTTCTATGTTTTCCTTTTTTGCATAGATTCTAGCATTGCAGATTTGAATGCAAAATTACAAAAAAATAAATCATGCTCCCATTCCCTGTGGTAACGGTAAGTTTTTGGTCTCTTTGCTTCATCATTTTCACTCAAACACTACAACTATCAAAAAGGCAAATTATCTTATCAAACTGTTGGCGAATTTGTCAATAACCAAGAGAACATTCTTGGGTAGCACACAAAACACAATTTACGGAGCTCCTGTAGCCTTTTTTTCAGTGTCAGGTAGCACTCAGAGACTTTTACAACCCATTCGACAGGTGTTAAACACACACAAAGGGTGATACAATGTATGACATTACATCCACAGATCTGAATAAATTTTCAGGCTATCGAAAAAAGTAAATAGTCAAAAATCCCATTTATTTTTTGCCAAAAATTCTTATGATCAATCGACTGGCAAGCACTCCGCAATCGACTGGTTGGGCACCCCTGTACTATGCTGTAATACACTTGTAGTATACTGTGTTACTTAATATGCTTATTGGAACAATACAGAAAATACCAACATTTATCTGCTTTATATGGGAAAAACTCAATTTAACCTGCTAATTTTATTTTACATGATGCACTTGAGGTTTATACATGGCAAATGTGTTAATCTCCTTAATCAGAACTGTAATGTTAGCCAGATTAAATAATGACTGGTTTGAGTGCAAAGAGAAGCTTTAATCTGATTCTTTATAACAGACTTTACAAGGGACAAGAGTTGCTAGAAATGATCCAGTATTGCACTCTTGCATATTCTTTCTTTCTGTTTTCAAAAGGTCAATAGGGTGTTCAGTTTTCATGCACAACACACATTATATATTTGGTTTCTTTGGTGCTCTATTTTCTGTTAAGTACTGTATGGTGTAAGCAAACTACTCAACTGTAGACAAGTTCAGAGACAATGTTTCAGTGCAGGTTGCTTTCCTATTGCTATAATCTGTAGCATTTGTACAAAACTACAACGGTGAAAAGAGCATGACTTATGGGCATCATAAATATAACACAAAACGAATGCACTGTATTAATAAATTTGCTCTCTTCAAAAATAGTTGAAAAGATTACAAAAATGAAGCTTTGCAATTTACACTTGTCGAAATCAGTCTGTTTCCCAACCTGCAGTTTGTCAATGGAAGAGAGGCTGAACATTCATTTTTAAAAGAAGATTTACAAAAAGAGGATTCACACTTACTTTTCACAATGAGTTTGGTTGAGGTCTGGAATCATTGGCACAGTAATAAACCTCAGAGTTGCTGTGCTGTAAGTGCTTTATTGTCAGCGTGCAGCCTTTCTCGTTGTTACTAGTGACAGTATTCCGATCTGAATAGAGTAATGAAACAATAAGACTGCTGTCAGATTCCACCTTGAGCCAGGTAGCACTAGCGCAGGACGTCGAACCATGATTAAGACATGTCAGATTGACTGTGCTGCCAGCTGTAGCATTCATGTGGAGGGGTCTGTCGAAATCCTGTGTAAATACAGCTGAAAATACACAAAGCAAATTAAACTAATTACTTTATTGGAACAAGTAAAAGGTTTATTCCATGCTGAAAGAGAAGAAGAAGACACCTGAAGAATGCCCCAAGGCCGAAATGTTGTGTTTTCTTTCTTCTCTTTTCAGCATAGAATAAACCTATTTATTTTCCTTTATGTTCCTTTGCAGCCTACGCATACTGATGCAACTACCCACCTGAACTACTAATCACTTTATTGCTTTTTTTTCTGTGTACAGTGTTTTGACTACATGAAACATCTCCTTTATCAGTCATCATTAACACTTTGGAGTGGCAGGTATATGTGTATATCAGCACGCAGTATGCAGCTGAAAATACATCAAACTTAACAGAACATTGTATGGAAATAGTGCACATGTATTACTGCACATTACTATATATATTTACAGAATGTTATTCCCCATTTAATTTATTTTGTGTTGATTTCAGTGACGTAATACCATATCCTAAAGAGTACAAACATACTGTCCATATGTTTACAAACATAATGTACATATCTAAATGTCCATAATTGTGCACAAATGTAACATGGTAAATATTAAATAATCCATGCAGTATTATCATCATTCAAATTTCAATCCTTTTTATTGAGCATTAAACCCCTATAATATCTAAATACTAATACTAAATTATGTTTTAACAAATGCAAGCATTTCTTTTAACATTTTTTCAACTCATAAAAGCATTTCTGCAAATGTATACAGTCTTCAACATCTTCGCCTGTGAAACAAATAACATTGGTATAATTAGTTTTCATTATCAGCATAAAAATACTCTATGTATTCTTCTGTATGTAAAATAAGAATTTCTCCATTTCCTCTTAGAACAAAATGTATCAATTTCCTCTGAAACATTCAATATTTAAATACTGTATGTACACATAAAAGAATGAGAGCAGAAAATGTGACACTTCATGTCAAGTAGAATATGTAAAAAACACAAACAAATTAATTTTTACCTTGATTGATTACATAGAAAATCAGAAGACGGGCCCTCATTTCGATAGCTGGAAGATTTTATAAAATTAAAAAAGATGAAAAACACTTGTGTCAGTTTAACAGTGAGGAGACATGAGTTTGTGGTCATCACCAAACGTGGTCACCTCAGACAGAGCACAGGAAAGGAGTGGGTGGTTGTTATGAGGCACTTTTGAAAACTTCTTTTTTCACGATTGCAAGAGTGGGTTCTATTCATTTGCAAAACCACAGAATGGAAAAAAACGAACATGTTTCATGTTATTTATTCTTTGATGGAGCATTCTTTCAGTATTGATATCAAATTAAAGGTCATCTGTCACAAAGGCGTTCTTTCCGGACCCTATGCAGACGACACAATCCGTGAAGAGTAAGGAAAACACAGAAAAAAAAAATGCAGGGGTCAGGAATGAAAACAGGGGGCGTGTCCATGGTATGCTGGTGTTTGGGGAAGGTGTGGCTGAGGCAAACTGTCCAAAACTGAGTCCAATGGAGAATCCGAGAGCAGACAAAAGTCTAGAGCTGGGCGGTCCATCCAAGACGAACAGAATTAAAACAAGAACCGGGTCGGAACCGGCACAGGAACAGGAACTTAAAACCTTGATGGGACCAGGCGCTCCAGGTCCCGGACTTGCCTGGTACAGGAACCAATGCAGAGCCCGTAACTGAGTTAGCGCCTGCCTTTTATAGGACGGGGGGCAGGAACCGGAGGCAGGTGCAGGGAATGAGTACTGAACTAGGAAGGGCTGGAGCATCTTTAAGAGGAGGGGTTTATGTTCGTGACGGTTATCTATCAAAAACATTTTAATTTCAAAAGCCTGAACTGCCCTGTTGTCCAGTTTCTTCTAATGCTACAGCTGAAATAGAAAGTTCTCTGCTTTTCGATTTTCAAATTTGTGAGAAATCTGTACAACTGTATCTACGCACTTTAGCTTCTTCATGAATTTCTTGTATGATCAATACTTCAGATATTGTCTTTCCTGTATGGTTTGCGTACTGTACAAAAGCTCAGACTTTCTGTGCAAAACTTGCTACAGCAAAATATCAGAGACTGTCACATTCGTTCTGTTTTAAGTATTTTAGTCTGTCCTCAGGTCTAATTCATTAATAATTGTTTGCACTTTATCCACATCTGTCATGATTTTTTAGATTTATTATAATATATCCATTCTATTAAAAAGACTCAGCTTTGTCTGTGTATTATGTGAGCAATTCTGTTAATCATCTAACATCTTCCCTGTTTAGAACAGCTCATTTCAAAATAAAAACATTCAGAATTAAGGATATTTTTATTTGAATGTTATAAATTTCTAAAAATATTTTATGTGAGAGTAGTATTTAGTATTTTGATTAAATTCATATTCCGTGGGTAATATTTGTTTAAATGTAAGTTAAAATCTATATACAGATGCAACCATTTAGAATGTGCTTCAAAACTTATACGTTTTTTTATTTTTTAGTTAAAAACAGTTCACAGAATTATTAGCAAGTCGTAATAAATAGTAATTAGAAGACAATTTCATTTTAGGTTTTAACAGTAAAATACATTGTCCCTTTCAAAACGTGCTATATTTAAAAGCAATTAAACATAAAAAACAAAAAGAGGTCAGTAGTTTTGAATGAGTCTAAGAATGACTTATGATCATATGCTGTAAATCTGTCTCTGTGAGAGGCATTGGTGGCTTAGTGGAAGAATTCTTGGCTGCTACACAAAACGCTCAAGTTTGATTCCAGGCCAATGCCTGCCTCCTGGAAGATATTATTATTGGAGAAAAAATATTTAAGTAGTATACTCTATTGACATATTTTCTTAATTTTATATTTCAAAATATATAGAATATTAAATGATTATTAAAAATAAAAGTTGGTCTGTTTCACAATGCAAAATTACTCAGCCATATACTTTATTTTAGAAATAGTTTATTGTTATAGTCTGTTATAGATGCGTCTTTGCAGGTTTACATATGCATTTAAATAAGTTATATTTTGTCTTAATGCTAAATTAAGTTATAAGTAGTCAGGAAATATTTTGTTACAAAGTAAAATAAGCATTTTAAAAAAGGGTGCCTGTAAATTCCTTCTGCATGTGTGTACTGTAAGTGACACCAGACAACTAACAGTGAAGCACCAGCACTGGGTGGGACCTGCAGGACGTCACCACAGCTAGGCAGCACAGGACATCATGACGGAGATGCCAAGAAGGGATCCATTGGGTTTTATGGGAATTTGAGTTTCTAAGCTAATTCGGTGTCTGTGAGCAATTTTAGTCTGTTTCTGTAGCTGGCCCCCCTCCGACTGATGTTAACTCATCCAGTATGCCTTAACAGGCACAGTGAACTAGTAGCTACTGCCTGCTTTCGGGAAACATTTATATTAAGTAAATAATTGCATCTAGATGAAGGCAGTGTTTTGTAATAATAAAGTTTGAATCTGTATAGATATTCACAGAATATAGTATTGTGACACCTTATTTCAAATTGAAGTTTATTTTTAATTTTTATTTTTTTTTGCACATAACCTGTTATCTTTTTGTTGTTTTGCACATTGCCTGTTGTTGTTTTTTTGCACATTGCCTGTTGTTGTTTTTTGCACACTGCCTGTAGTCTCTGTCTTTCTTTTGCTACGCAATTGTATTGTTGTTGTTATTGCTGTTGTTTTTTTTCTATTTGTACTACTTATGTCCGAGAGCTAGCATAAGAAATAGCAAATAGCATAGAGAAATAGCATTTCGTTATACCATATACCATGTATATGAGCGTAATGACAACAAACTTGAACTTGAACTTGAACTTGATTTCAAGTCGTGGTAGCAAAATGTTTACAATATCCTGTCTCAACAATGTGATTATTGTATTTAATGGTTTAATAAACATCAATGGTGTAATAACCATTTATTATGGTACCACTTTTTCTGACAGTCACACACAGCTACAGTCCTTTAAGGATTCACTGCATCATCTGGCAGTTTTAGAGTAGTGCAGATCAGATTATCTGAAAAACAAAAAACATGATGCAGCACTGTTAGTTATACCGTGGATCTTACTACAGCATACAACCTGGCATCTCATACATTCTAGATGGCTGCATCTATAAGATAATAAATAGACAATATTATGATATTATTCATATAATAATATTAGGTAATACATACTATTCTGTGTATATTGGCATAATTAAAAATGCAGAGGAACTCTTTGCTTTTAATACCACTTTATTTGTGCTGAAATAATCACAATTGCAGTATGCATACTGTACCCACCAATAAACTGCCACCTGAACAGCAAAAATACAAACCTTGAGCTCTTGTTTTCCTGCATCTCATGTTGTTCCCTCTAAGAGGTTTCTTACTGTGGGCATGGACAGTACATTTGCAATGCTCTTATATATCAAGAATGTTATATGCTCTGCAATATTTTCATTATATTTTCAACTTGCAAAAACTTCAGAAATATCTAGATACAACCTACAATTGTTTTGCATGTCTTTAGCAGCTACAAAAACCATTTCTATGGCAAACACTTTTCAGCAACCTGTACTGATGTAAAAACAATTATCAGTTTCAGTGTAACAGAGGTTATCTCACCCAACACAGAGCAATGTGCTATGGTTGTGTGGGTGTTTAATATAAATGGTTTTGCAAGTCTCTTGCTTAAATAATTTAAACAATGTTGTTTCCATCCTCCCTTCCTCACCCTGTAAGAGTGTCGGTGTCACAATGTGGTGGTCAGGCAAGAAAGAAAAAAGTAAATGTAATATTAGTAAATGTGTGCTTAACTATTGAGGTGCTTTATTACAGTATATTTGCACAATGCTTGGGCTGCTAACATATTAACAGCTCTGCAACAGTGGTTACAGGACAATCAGGTCATATCTCTTAAGAGTTGGTGGGTGAAAAACATAATATATTTCCACTTCAGCTTGATCACAGGATACATAATGAGGTTAGGTGTCATGGAGAAGGACAAGTATTATGGCTTGGTAAAGTATTTATTTACTCATTTAAGTTCTGA